ATTCATCTCAAACAATCATCCATTTGATGTAGCATCAACAACATCTTAAAAAAACAATTGTCAATTAAAATAATTAATATAAATCCTCAAAAGTGTTTCAATATTTTCAGTGAATATCTAATATAAAAACTTAAAAAGCAGCATTATAAATTCAAAAGTTTGTATTGGTAGTAGTTTTATACTCGTTGGCATTATATTGACAAGTTAAACCCCAAAATTTTGTATTACCATAATTAGATGACAATAGTTTACTAGTATATTTTCATATTCAGATTTTGGTACTCTCTATAAAAATTCTCAGAAATTTTTAAATCATATAAAATTGTTTTTATTCTGTTGGAAAAATGAATCTATCGCTTTTAATTAAGAAATTACAACACTATTACTTGACACGAATCATCAACATGATAATTGTTAGTAAATCGGAACATTTGTTAGTAACATTCATTATATTATCAGAGATTTTTAAAATAAATATTGTAAAACCAAGCTTAATGTTGAATAACTAAAATATTATAAAAAATGTTTCGGTTTGGCAAAATAAAACAATAGAGATTGTATTGTAAAATACTTATATTTTCTTCACATTTATACATATGATAACATACATCTACACCTTATTATTCAAATTTTGGTACAATAAGTTGTAAAAATATCAAATCTCAACTCTGCAAACAAAAATACTTTTGAAAAATTTTGACTAACAATGGGTCTAAAGTCTTGTCCAGTACCATTATATCACACTTGACTGACAATCGCTCATCAGAATCACTCAATGTATAATGCTTTGTTAATAATATATTTAATATTATAAAACACTATATATCATTATATGAAATAGTATAACATAACATAACATCTTCATATATAATATATATACGATTTAAACTGACCATTAGAAGTTTTTCTTTCTACTATAAATATATAAAAGTATAGAAACAAGCACTTCCGTCTAATCAGCTATACCTTCACATCGATCACTCGATGTTCTTATAATGCATCCATGAGTATTAAATAATTTGACTATGTATATATATTGCAATATGCTATTTGGAGGTACGTGTGTCTCTTATATACATCACACGATGACGATCGCTAGATATAACGTGTGTTAATGCAAGTGCTCCGTTTCGGTATTTTTTTAAACATTTTTTTCCATTGTTTTGCAATGTTGCATGTTAATTAGAGTAATACTTGATATATATGTATACGATGATGTGGATAACGTTATTGAGTATTAAATATTTATAAAATATAATACACAGGCCTCTAACTACAAAATTCACTATGTACGATTGTTATTTGTACACCTCGTAAATATTTATGTGTTTGTAGGATAATATAGCGTAGTCTTAACTTGTGATCTTGACAATATATACGTGACTGAGATAATAATGCGGGTATACTTTGTTTTCAGGGACCGACGATAAATGAAAAAATATTTCTAAAAATTTTGTTCACAAAACGCACCTCCACTAATCTAATACGCCGAAAGTTGTTATGACAAATCGTCAACCCAAAAAACAAAAAAATATATCCAAGATCTAAGGTGGCGATACTTCGTCCCCATATGAATTCAAATATTCAATAACTTGTAAACAAAAAAAAAATAAAATAAAAAACTATGGTAATTAATGTTGACAAAAGCAAAGTCCATCTAGTCGTCCACGTACCACGATTCCCAGGGGCTGCACGCGAGATAGCTAAATATACAAAGCAAGAGACGGTAAAAACAGCAACAATCGAGCTTCGCTACCATAAGTCGTATACACGATCGACGACTCGTTGGAAGCTCAGACGGTGTTGTCCTCGGGCTTGGGCGGATGGCGTTTGGCCACCGACTCGGCGTGCTCGTAGGCCCTCCTGTGCTCGCTTTTGGCGCGCTCGACCTCCTGGGTGTCCTTGACGCGGCCGTCCTCGCCCAGGGGAGCTTTTGGGCCGTTGTAGCCGATCGGTCCGTCGTGGTGGTAAAGGAGGTACACGGGCGGCACGAAGATCTTTTTGCGTTGCTCGTACCACGCTGGTGATGACTCCGAGCTCTCGGACTCGTCCTTGCTCATCTTGGCCAACTTCACTGCCTGCTCGTACGCGATCAGGTGAGCCTCTTTTGCCTTGCGCACCTGTCATAAGAAATTTTTTTTTTTTTTTTTTCACAACAGTGATCGATTTTATATCCCTGTTTTTTTCAAAACAATAAGCTCAACAAGTGAATTGCTTCATACTTTAATATGCAACTCGTTTGTGTCTAGTAAGCTGATTATATTTTTTTTTAAATCTATATTTGAGTTACATTTATTGACAGCAGTTTAATTGATTGTTTGAGTGATCGCTGGACTATGCTAAACTAAGCTCCATAAAATCCAGTCTTCTCACTTTTGGATATAAAAACTTTTTAAAAAAGCTGCCCTTAATTATAAAGTAAGGCTGAGAAGAATTTGCGAAATGCATAGTGGTGAAACTTACTTTCTTACATATTCTAAAAAGTCATAATCACAGTGGACGACAAAATTTTATGCAAAATCTCCGCAAGTGTCATTAAAACATTTATTGCACTGGATAGGCGGTTTTAGAAAAATTATAGTATGTTACATCATTTCGTCAAGTGGCGCGTACCATATCAACTCCAGGAACCCCGCAAATGATCATAAACGTAGCGTAACTAATTAGATCATCAGGATATGTTTTTCGTTTTATTTTCATGACGTAACGTCGGGTCGGCGAGCGTGACCGACTTATTCATGGGCCAAATGCAAACATGGGCGTGTCGGTTCTCGAACAGCCACCACATCGATTTTATAGTTTTTCTTAAGGATTCTGCGCAAATTGAATCGCTTATTCAACACTATGCCATAAGTGTACGTGAACCATCAAAGTTATTACGTACCGAAATCAAAATATTGAGTCTCAAAGTTACAAATTATAATCTGTCTCGAACAGTAAAAGAAGTTTTTTCGACTTTTGAAAAAAAAAACAAATCTTTGCTGGTTTTTNGTAAAATACTCATTATTTTTTCGTTGATCAATTTTGTAAACCATTAATTATGCATAAATTTTATTAATTATATTTAATGAACAAACAAAAATACTTACAGAATTTACTCAAAGTGATGAACGTAAATTCTCGTATCAAAAGCATTTTATAAGTACAGCTATCTTCTGCTATAAATGCTTGACCAAGACGCACTGACTAAAACTGCAACCATTACGTGAGGAAAAAATAGAAGCTAAACCTATAAATTATTGTCGCTGCTTTTGCTCTTAAATTATCATCCCAATTAATCATTTCTTTGGAAATTGGACTATTTGGACTTTTTTTGCATGTATTTTGACGTACTATTTTAACATTCCATTTATAGTCAACTACAAGATACGTTATAATTAACCCAATTTTTTTTAAATTAAATACTACGAGTGCCATCTATAGCTTCAAGCAATAATATAGATAAAATGTTGACAGAAATTCTCACTTTCCAGGCCAGTGGTATGAAAACAAATTTTTATTCATATTTAAAATTGGTTTTTTCCACCATGTTTCTAAGAACGGCTTATGTACATATTTCTTGCATGAAAATCAAAAGTTACAGAGATAAAAGGTCTTTGCAAACTAAATGTAATTGACGTAGAAAACAAAGAAATCTCTTACTAATAAATTGTTGGTAGTTACTGATATGACCTAAATTTTTCTTTCAATTTGTTTAAAGTATGTAATTTCTTGACATTGCATAGTTATAAAAAATACCCTATATTGTCTAATTACTTTAAACAATTTTTGAATTATTTGAAAATCAAAGACCAACTTCTTTCTTGATAAGGATCATTCATTAATTTCAAAAAATTTTTTAAACTATAAGATAAATTAGTCATTTTATCTTTTGACTACACCACTTCTTTCCACTG